AGTGCAGAGTAGATTGATTTGGAACAAGTATTTGGCAAGCGAACAGACATCAACAACATGATTTTAACTTTAGTAAAAGCTACATACTTTATGCTATGTACCTTCCTATGAAAATTACTAGTAGTGTTTTTATCTCTTCTGGTTAGAAGATTCTGGTTAGATCTGTGTCTGGTTTTCTGTACCACAATCAGCAATCACTTTGATTTATATGATTTCTTAATTTAGTTCATGTACCCACTGTTAGCATGTCAGTCCATCCTCTGATGCTTTCATATATATGCTCTTCCATGGACACTCATTTAAATAATGACCTGCTGAAGGAAGAGTCAATACTGAATTCTTCTTTCATCAACAAAATTAACAAAATCAACAAAAAGCCATGCTTCAGCCCCTTGGCTAACTACTCGCAAGCCGAAGCTTTTTCCTTGAAGCTTCCTATTTCCCTAAAAGTAACATTTCTCTAAAAAGTTAGAATTGATACACTAACAGTTATATTTTTCTATATGACCTAGGAAATTACTTCATGTAGCAAGCATTATTGAGGAAATTCAATTTGTTTCTTGATGCAATTTATCTATTTTCAGGCATTTCCCATATGCTTTTACTAGGTAACAAAGAACATCCAATTAAACACATTAAAAAATGACCTGAGATGTTTTACTCAACACATGATGTTACTGATGGTATAATGGGTTTCAGAAACGAATTTAAATTTTGCATGCATTAGCTATCTCATCCCCAATATATTATAGTGTACTATGGCGGAAGTACACAAAGGACATGAGAACCCTTCTGGTTCTGAGTATCAGCCAGTTACAGACTGAGCTTAGAAACTTGGATACTTGCTAAGAAACTTGCACTGCTATGTGCAATTTGTCCTGCAGTCATTCAGTAAAGGTTTCTTTTCTATCTTTCGAAGCATCAGCTATTCCCCATGGTCAGAGACAAGATAACAGATTAGGTAGACCACTGATCTGACCTAGCATAGAAAAGCAATACTGACCAGTCAAACTGAAGAAGGTTTATCTAGACCCCTGTCTCTGCCTGAAATCGGTTGCTACTAGGCCCTTAGGCAGGAACCTGCTTTGTACACAAGACATGGACAGGGAGTGTCCATCCTTCCCTCAGGTCCCCTGCCAGCCTCCAGCAGTTAATGGTTCAGAACCAGAGGTCACATCCAGACCTTCGTGTTGAATAGCCATGGATTAATTTGCCCTCCATAAGTACCTCCAATCCTTTTTGAACCCATTTACTCTAAAATGTCCATTTGTGGGAATGATATCCACTGTGTGATTTAATGCTTTCTGAAAATGGATGTCACCGATATCTCCAAGAAAATACTGGCTAGGTGCATCTTTAACCTGACGGGAATTCTTACGTTCTTATTTATATTATACTGATTTGTGATTATGCCACAGTTGTCTCTGTTCCTTGAAAGCAAACACATTTACTGTGTTTTTCTATCAGAGGAATAATTTCTTTTTTTATATATCTTCTTCCTTATCATCTTTATGTTTGGTCTAATAATTAGCTGTCCACATCCCAGTTTGTGTGTATCTCCCTTGAATTTGCACCTCATGCTCACACGCTAAGGGCTTGTGTTTGGGGTAGAATTAGGACAAACTCATGTTCTAGCTTATGAAGACTTGTGTATATTTGTTGCAATTTGTGTGATTTTACTCCCTGGAGCTTTGCTTTCCATTTCAGCTCCCAGTAAGCACACACACTCCAAGGGTGTTTCAGCCAAAGCCATCAATTTCATCTGATTTCAGGCCAAAAACGTGCAAGTAGCAAGTGTCACATGATTTCCATTCATCTGATTCTGGGTCACTGACAGATTTGTGAATCCCTCAGTGAATCTGCGGTGAGTCCTTGCCCTGCTCAATTGCTGCTCCCCTTCAGTGCACAAGCCATGCTGTGGAGCAGTTCTTGTCTGCTTGGACTTCTGCTGTCCTTAATGATGTCAGGAACAGCCAGAGGCCAGCTGGGAGCCAGGCACAGTTCTCCTGGGAGAGCAGAGTCCCAGCATGCAGGTTACCTGGATGCCCGGTTTGAGCATGTTTAGTTCACACCAACCTGAAAGATGCAAATCTTTTCTCCAGCCATTGGCCATCTTCACTAGTGCCTGTTGCTCACACAGCCTGTCAAGGTTGTCTTGGAGTCTGTGATCCTTTCACTTGGTGAACATAACACTTGGCAGTTATTTAGCACACTGCAGCTTTCCAGCTAGTGGTTCTCCTTTGGTAAAAGGATACTGGTTTCTCAAAAACTATGGAGTCCAGGACAAGCACTGGTCCAGCCTGGGTGATGGGGAGAGGGGGGAGGGAGAATACTGGTGAGGAGCTAGGTTTTAATTGTTTGGTTTGGGGTTCGTTTTGAGAAAAGAAACAGTCCAGTGCACTCTTTTCATCAATTGCTTATTTTTTACATCCAGTTAAAACTTCTCAGCTCTCAGACTGGTTTTGAATAAGATCTCTCCACTTGGAAAGAAAAGATGCTAGTTTTGTTAGAGAACAAAGCCAATTATGTTTTCTATTGATACTAAAGATGCTAAGTGAAATATGGCAAACTACTGTAAAACTGATAAAGGACAGGATTAATCCAAGGCAGTCAGGCCCAGGTTTGATGCCCAGCCTTGGGGGAAGCGTTCACGGTACCTCAATACGTTTTAGCAAGCCTCAGCCTGTGGCCATAACAGCCTTGATATCCTTAGAATTGCTTCTCCCCTGCAGAATCCCACAGCTCACCTCTTCAAAATAAGACAGAAGCACAATAATAAAATAATCTGCAATTTGCTTAGGGTAAGCCTAGCCTAGGAAGATAAAATACAGCCCTGAAGAAGCCAGTGAAAGTTTAGTCATTGATTCCAGAGCAGCCAGGGATTCCCCCAGGCCAGCGGTAGTAAATATGCTTAAAGAAAGGGCTCATAATTTAATCACTGAAGACAAGAATTTCAGCTCTGAAATCCCCTGCTTAGCCATTACCCATCGCTGAACACGATTGATGTCTGCAAGGGTGTAACTTTTTGTTAAATGCTTACACTGCCTGGAATTAGGCTTCTGTGCACACCCAGACCTGTCCTTGTTGTGACACTGTTGAGCATCCCAGTACAGACCTTGAACCTTTGCCTGATCAACCCAGAGCTTCCTTTTGGAGAATTCATTTGGTTTGGTTTTATGAAGCAACCAAAGCAAATGACAGTCCTTGGGAAATGCTGCCATTTGTCAGGAACTTCAGATGTCCGGCAAGAGTCATGAAAGACGTGGTTTGTCCAAAACTTCTGGACAGATGACTGGTGTGCTCTGTAGGTGCTGCATAGAACAACCGACATGGACCTACAATGCATTCATCATCTCGTCATGGTGGTGTTGGTAGGACCAGTGTATCTACAGAATGTGGAAATCCCAGTGTCCCCCACGTTTCGTACATGTGTATTTTAGTCCAAAACACTTCAGGCTGAAATAAGGGAACTCTTGCACACACACATCTATCACCACCAGGGGAGGGTTCGAGGCATTGTGTATGGGGCAGACAGCAGCATCTCCTTGCAAGTGGAGCTTATGGTGTGTCTTCACTGAGCTTGCTTATTCTAGGTGACTCCTGCTCAACATGTTGGCTCTTTTAGATCCCGTGTTGATGCTCTAATGCTGTGTTTGAGCCTTGGCATTTCAGGCAGGGTTGTAGATTTGATCTGGGCAGCCCAATGATACACCTCCCCATAGACACTGCCCTCAGAATTCAGGGTGTTCATACCCCCACAAATTCAGTATTTTTGTACTACTTTTTCTCAACAGAAAAAAATACATCAGAGTAACTTTAAACACTATACAAGACAAAATCAACAGAAAAGAAAACCTCTTCCAAATGATGCAAACTGAAGTAACACCAATGCTGCTCAGGGAAGCCAGCCTGTTGTTACATCAGTGACAGAAAAGTTGGAGGCTTCAGCGAAGGTGAAAAACAATGTCGCTCTGTTAATGAACTGGTATTCCTGATATTTCTCAGCTCAGAGTACAAAGATGGGTTTGGCCTGTAAGTTAACTGCAAATTGAAGATGATTGCTGTCTGGAGAGCTTTCAGGAAAGTGAGACCAGATTGTGGTTCCACTTGTATGTATTTGGCTGCAGTAATTGGGCTTTATTCAAATACCTTCTTAATTTTATAAAACATAAACATTACTATTTTAGGAATTATTTAAAAAATTTAGACACTTTATTAGAAACGGTTCTATGGCTCCCACATCTCATCGAGTCAGTGTAGCAGGACAGGGCTTCTGGCATCTCCAGTGTATTGGGACAGGAGTGACAACTGTACCGATTTAGCAAGGTAATGAAATTACACCAGCAATTATTTGTGGACCCAGTGTGCTCTCCTAGCTGCCTGCAGCTTCCTTTTCCACATCCTTTCTGCACACCCAAAGGGAGGTTGGAACAGGTTCTGAGCCTTTGGTTGATGGTCTGTCAAAATTCATATTCAGAGATTGCAGCTTGTAGCAAGCACGTTTATAGTCATATGAGAAGTGTGTGATTTTATGGGAGGTCTCCTTCTTCAGAGTTGTATCTGTCTTCAAAAATACAGGTACATAGCCCAAAAGGTGAGAATGAAACAACTCTGCTGTTTTCTTCTCAGTAACCTGGGTTCACCTGTGTGAGAGGAGCTTAACCCTTTTATATGAGTGTTAAGAATATTGTATTGTAATGGCATAAAGAGACAGGAAACTACACTTCTAAAGAGTAACTCGAACCTTTTCATGCCTCGGGCTCTCCTTTCAGTGATTTGTACACTTCAACTTGGAAGAAAAAGATATATATTATCCATTGATTGCCTGTCTCTTTTGGAGCTACCCTACTTTTGTACTAAATGAACATGAAGCTCTGCAAAGAAGGTGCTAAACACGCCAAGCTGCTGTTTGCATGTTAAATACTGTCCCTGGGCTACGTGGTTTTCGCCTTCTTGCACAGAAGGAAAAAAAGTAAGATCTTTGGGTCTGTGAGGTTTCCAGTTTCTGAAGAACGTGTTACTTCCCCTTTAAACTCGGAGCCGGTCGTGTGTGTGTATGTGTGTGAGTGTGAGTGTGTGTCTCCTCCTCTTTGAGTGACACAGCACTTAGATATGCCTATCAGTAACTTAAACCCCACAAACTCCACCTTCTAAGTGAGGAAGCTGTGGGTTGATGGAAATGTAGTGAGCAGATTGAGACAGACAGTGAATCATTAGCAAACTGCAACGCCAGGATGAACTTGTCTGGAACCTAAAAGGAGAAAACAGCCGGAGAGTCCTTCGCGGTGCTGGTTTTTGCTCAATACAGCCAAAGTGGATCTAAAAGCCGGTTGATCCCCAGTCCAAGATGCTGCTGGTTTCCCAGCGGGTAGAAGCACCACGTATGGAGCCTCATATTCCAGTAAGTAGCGTTTGCAATTGATACGGGATGGAAAAGTAGGAGTTGATTTAAAAGGACTGAAGCACCCTCGGAAGAGTCGCTCTCCCGGGCGCTCTCCGCCGGGCGGGTAAAGTTTGGAGAAGCGGTTCGGGGCATCGCCCGCGGTGGTGAGGGGCTGCACAGGGCTTGGGGGGAAACGCGGCCAGCAGCTTGGCGTGAGGATCCCGCCTCCTTTCTGGGGAGGGCTGGGAGCAGCCCAGGAGGGGGACGGGGCTCGCGGGGTGATGTGCGGTGTGGGCTGCCGGGGGGAGAACCCCGGAGGCGGCGGGGACGCTCCGGGGGTCTGTGTCATTGCTCGTGTGGCGACGTGCGGGGCGGATGCTGCCGGTCTCGGCCGGTGGGACCGGGGCTCTGCCGGCCCATGGGTCCGTATGCGCGCGTTGTCGGGCGGGTAGGCTGGCTCAACCCGGCGCGGGGGTCCTTTAAACTCCCATCAAACAGGGAGGGAAGGACAAACCCAGCATCACAAGGGGACTCCGCCGGGAAGGTGTCACACGCAGAGGGGCTGGTGTTGGTCCGTATCGTGATGGTTTATTTAGTAACTCCCGGTATTTGCGCTGGCAGCGGCGTGCCGGGTTATTCGGGGAGTGTGAAGCGCGCGTTATAGAGGCAGAATTTTGAACAAAAGGCTCCGCCGAGCCCCGGAGGAGCCTTGGGTTGTTCCTGAAGGGAGAGCGGAGCCCGGCGTGAGCCTCCGCAGTGCCGGTGTCGAGCGCGGCTTCAGAGCGAGGGGACGGAGTGAACGCGATGCGTTTTGCCGCTCTCCCCGCGACCGCGCGTGTGTGTGAAATAAAACGCGTGCTGACTCACGGTTTAAACTGTTTTGGTTTCTCATCCTGTGATTAAGATCGGGGGTTAGAGCGATTGTCGGGTAAACAAGGCGCTCGCTGACTCGGTCCCGCGTATTCTTCCAGAGCCCCGGTCAAGAGGCGAGACCTACGCCGCCGCCTTCCCCGGCCTGTTGCTCGGCCAAGGGGCACCGCGGCTTTTGTTCGGGTTCGGCTGGCAGGGGGTTGTCACCAAGGTGACTCGAAGGGATCCCGGGGAGAACGGCCGCTTCTTGGAAGAAACCGAGCTTTGGTTTCCTTTCACACCGCCCCCCCCCCCCCCCCCCCCCCCACCGTCGGAACAATAAATTAAAAGGCCGCTTTTGTTTTCCGCGGTGCCCCCGGCGGGGGCAGGCGGCGGGGCCGGGAGGCGCCGCGGAGCCGCGACCGGGCGGTCCCCGGTGCCGTGCGCGGACGCGTGGTCACCTCGTCCCGTCGGAAGCAGATGAGCTATCGGGGACCGGCCGCTTGCAAGGAGCCTCTCGGCACGGGAGCCTGCCACCGCCTCCGGCCCCGAGGGGGTAAAACCGCTTGGTCCCTCCCCCGACCCGCCACTGGGGACATTAAGCTGCATCTGGCCCCTTCCCCGTGCTGGGGGCGGAGGCACGGCCCCCCCACTTCCACCCCCCGCTGCCGCCGTGCGGCCGCCCCTGCTCGGGCTTGCTGTCGGGCTGTCGGTCGGTCGGTCGGGGTGTGGGAGCGCCGGGAGGGGCGAGCTGCTCCCGGTTATATAACGCGAGTGTTTCCCTGCCTGGCTCTGTAATCCCGCGTAATGACGAATGCCCGGGGGTTGGGGGGGGGGGGTCCCGGAGCTCCCCCTCCGGGCCGAGTTGATGGGGAAATAAACCTGCTGATGTGCGGGATGGGCCATATGGAGATGAAGCAGGAGCGGCCTTGAACCTGCAGGACCCCGCAGCGGTTTGCCAGCCCCCCCCCCACTCATGGTCATCCCTCGGTTGAGCGTGTCCTTGCTTTGCCACGGTACCCCAAGCCCGGTGCCCGGTGCCCGCCGGAGCGTATTCACCGTGCGAGCAGAGTGGCGGCGGCGGAGGCGCCTGTCGCGCCCGGGGCCGCCCCGCAGCGGCGGGGGCTGCGGCCGCGCTCCACCCGCTACCGGCGGCAGGAGCAGGGGAGGGACACGCCAGCACCTTAAAAAAACAGCGGCATGGTTCTGGCACTGACCGTTTTCAGTTCCTGCCCCTTGCCATATGTTTGGAAGGAGGGGGGGAGGCACTTTGGGAAGGATGCCCCGAGCTGCAGGGAGGCGGTGGGCTGGGGGAGCGAGGTACACGGAAATTCCATGTTAGGAAAGCATTAGCAAGGGGTGACTTCTAATGTTTTCCTGCCACTGACGTTGACAGTGACACACATGTGTGGGTTGAAATTGGAACGTCACTGAGTTTTTAAACTCAACCAGGAAATAGGCTGTTGCTCAGGGATAAAAAGCAAATAGTGTGTATTGTGAGGCAGGTAACGAGCAGTTAGCAGCTTCTCTTGAGTGAGTGAAAAGCTGTTTAATGTTTAGAATTGAACAGCTCAAATTTAATTGAGTTTTTTACTTTCGAAAGGTATTTAGTATTTTTTTTAACTTGAACTTTTCAATCTCTTGATTTTAATCCTTTTAACTAATTGTTCGGAATCAGAAAAGCAAATATTGACAGGGCTTCACTTTTAGTCCCTTGTAACTACGTAGTTTGAACCTGCAAAGTCTCTTGGATTTGTTTTAAATCTAAGGTTTGGGGGGTTTGTTTTAAAGTTAAATGGGGGGGGGGGATGATAGAAATTGCAAGAGACATTAAGCTCTTTTTCGTGGTTTCCTATTACACAGGTACAGGTGTTTTATAAATCCCGTGTTTGGTTTGGGTTTGGGTTGTGTTTTTGTTTGTTTGTTGGGGTTTTTGTTTTGTTTTTTACTGACCTTGTTACAATGTGGCAGCATTCAGAGATCTAAAATGGGATTAGGGAGCTGTTTTAGGTACTTTCTGAATCTACAGGAAGATTTGGCAGGAATTCATGATTCAAGGTGTCAGGCTGACTTAAATGGTCCCTAACCTGCCTGGAGGCAAGTGTAGGACAAGGATCGACCTAGGAACTGGCTTCATGAGAGGAAAAAGTTAGGAAGGCAGAAGGTAACACAAGGGCAACAGTAAGTAAAATCCCTGAGTCGTTCTGTAGGTTAAGTAGAGTGCAGCTCACTGGTTCCCAGTCATTTAATCAATAAATGTTCTATGTTACTTGCTGTTCTGATGGGACTCGCCTTAAAATAACTTTTATGAGTACATAGCCATGGGAAAGTGAAGTAAATCTTGCAGAAGCTGTGACAAAGGGACTTATCCAAACTGGGGAACGGAGTAGTAGCAGGTTGTCTGAGCTCCTTAAATAGGGAAAAAGACAGGATCCTGGATTTTCATTGTTCCCTTGTGCTGGCTGCTTCCAAGCGTCAGCAGTTTCAGCATTCAGGTGAAGGTGACTGTAAGTTCCAGTTTCTGAGCGATAGGTGTGGTCTCCAAATAAAGATAGATAAATCAGTTTAAATGATGCTGGCACCTCTCCAAGGAGCCCTCTTTGTATCTGATACATTTGCCACTCACTTCTTTAAGGAACAAGTAATGTTGCACACTGCTATTTTTCCTCTATGGAAAGAGCAGGAGGGTAACTCCTCTGAAGCCTTTTTATTCTACCTGCTGTTCCAGTTTGACTTGCTATGTTAAAAAAGAAGTATTTTGAACTGAAGGAAGCAGAAGACACACCAAGGCTTTCCACTGGACTGTTTTATATCAATATTGATTTTTTAAGGGGGGTTGTGTTATAAAAGGGGAGCTTTTATCCCCCTGAGCTCTTTGGCAATTATCTTCTTGCCATAAATGTTGATACGAACATAATGGATGTAACTAAAAAATCTCCTTATCCCAGCAGAAAAAGCTGACTGTTTGTTGGAGCAGAGAGAATGGTGAGAGTGTGAATAGACAAACCCATATGTCGCTGGTGAGAGAGATAAATGATGGACGAACAGGAGTTGGTTACTATGGATCAGCACAATAAACCAATTCCCGTCATACACCTCTCTTAATAATATACCAGTTTCAATGGCATTGACGGGTAACCTAGGTAGCACCAGTCAACTGTAAGTTTTTCAACTGTTCTTTTATACATCTCAAAGAGCAGTTGGGACTGTTCTAATTTTTTCAGATGTTGAGTGCTAAAATTATGCAAAACTTCCTTTCTTGCCAGGGATTTTGAAGGGGAACTTTAAAGCATTGGTGTAAGATGCCAAATGTGCACAATACTGTTGTGTACTCGCAGTCAGTTTTGGTTTGTGCACCTGTGTAAAAGGGGCATGCTCAAAAAGGCAACTGCTTATCAAATACATGAAGAAACTGTTTAGGCATTTAGTAATACCCTCATTAGAGGTGTTTCAGATTGGACCGGATACTGGAAGATTCTGGAGTATTGTTTTGAAGTGAAAATAGCTAAAGAACAATGCTGGTTTATTAAAGAAAGAACAACCAAACAACAAAACCCAAACCCCGACCCTGTAGAATAGGCAGTGATCAGTATCACAGTTTTAACTTGCTGTAACCCATTTCAGATCTCCCAGCTGCTGAAGGAAACTTTTGCAAAACAGTCTGTGCTTGCACTGAGGTCTCCTTCCTGTGTTCTTTATTATTACTGCTAGTGCTTCACACAGAAAACTGGAGTCTTTGTCAGTTAAAGGTTTCACTTTATGTTCTTGTCTTTTGGTGTATATTTTTCACTGTAGTTGCTGTGGACCAGCCTGTTTGCTCTCTTCAGAAAGAAAGTATATCTCAGGGTGACAGCATAAGCGGGGCTCATGGCTCTGGGGATACAACTCCATCTTTTTCGAAGTCACCAGTTGCGCTACCAGACCGTGATGCAGTCAGAGAGGGATAGCTAGCAAATGCAAATGAGCTATGAAGAGTCTTTATTCCTCTTGGGAAGCCTCCTCACTGATAATGATTTCCCAGTTTTAAATGGAATAAAATGTGTTACTAAGTCATTGCTTGCCTTCAAGGGGAAAATACTTATTTTGTGCAGCATTTACTTGGAAAGTTGCAGGAGCTGTTTTCAGAGCTGTTGACTTTGGTGTGCATCTTGGGTGAACTGAATGGTGTTTGTTAGGCTGGGTGGTAGGAGAGGATACCAGCCTTTCTCCTACCAAGACCCAGCAGTCCTTTTTTGTTGTGCCCAAAGGGTAGAGCAAGGAAAAGAGTTGTGGCTTTCCTTCCTGTTGCAGCCCAGCCAGTGACACAGGCTATGCCCAGGGAGCCTGTGCCCAGTGGCTGTTTGTGTGGGGCCAGTGAAGTGCCAGTGGGGCCCTGGTATGGGAAGGAGCAGGGGGATGCAGGATTTGGAATGGCCCTACACAGTTCATCGCTACAATGAGCCATTGATCTGTGCTTACCTGATTAAAGGGCTCCAGCTTACAGGAGGCTTCGGTGGCCCCAGGCTTCCAGAGGTGCTGTGGACTGACTGCAGCTGCTTTGGGAATGGGCTGGGCTGAGGCGGGAGAACCAGAATTCATTGTTGTTCCCTGTCCAAAGTGAGGTGTCACATTATGACTTGTTGAAATCTGCTCTGCTTTTCATTGCAGGGGACTTGGCAGTTTTATTGATAAAGAAGTGTTACATAAGTGCCCTATCAAACATGTCCTAATTTGTTAATAATTGAGGATCTGGGTGGTATAGAAATACCAGTGATGTTAATGCACTCCCACACTGATCTGCAATCTCTGCAAGCCCCCTGCTTTACTATAATTGTAATACAGGCTTTTCCTTTTTTTTTTCCCATTTGCATTTACCTGGTGTTAAAACCACTGGTGCTGGTTGTGCTTTCCCATTCAGGCAGGGACAGCTGGGGGCTCAGAGTGTCCCAGACACGATATAGATTTCCTCTGCAGGTGAGGGTGTTAACTATGTTATTGTTTCACTCCAGGCAATCTATTGAGTGGCATCAGGGATAGCCCGGGGGGAAGCCAGTTTTTTGCACCTTCCACCTTTGGAGGTAAGGTGTAAGTCAAGTGGGATGGATGTGGTTGCGAGTCTGCGGATTCTGTGCCACGATTTGTCAGTGTGGGGAACTCGGGGCTCTTTTTGCACAGCACAGAGCAGGCACCCTCCCGCTGCTCCCCTCCTGATAACAGGCTGTACATGCACAGGTTTAAAAACCAGTTACTTCTGTCAGGCCACAGCTAGAGAGATCAGAAAAAACATTGCTGTTGACACGCACAAAAAAGAATTACTTAATGGGGTATCATCAGCATGATTTGCTGCCTCTTCTGTCTTGTGTCGGTTTTCCTTTGCATTTCAGTGGAAATTTCTTTTTTCCTAGGATTAAGTGCCTCAGAACTCCAAGCAAGTTCAGGAGTTACACCTACCCAAGACATAGCTAGTTATTGTTTTCAGAATAGCACAGCACATTTACTCTGTTGTGGGCAATGAAATCCATTACCTGCATTAAAATCAGAAGCAGCAAAGTAACTTTCTAGCTATGTTGTGAAATATAATGCCATTGTTCACTTTTATTAATGTCTCGAGGTTGATTATATGGCGGTTAGAAGCCTGTTCTGCTGTGCAAAAGACTGTCCTTAATTTCAAGTGGCTGGTCCTGATCAGGCAGTTAGAGCGGCTGGAGCAACAATTGCTGGGAGCTGTAAATCACATTTGTCACAAGATCTGCCTGGTGTAGTAGTGGCTGCTCAAAGACTTACTCCAACTTCTCAGCATTTCCCTTTGGTTGGAT